CCCCAAAACCCCAAAACCCCAAAACCCCAAAACCCCAAAACCCCGAATCTTAAGATGACTATTGAAATTTAGTCATTTTTTGGGATAATTGGGGCTAGAGAAGGCATGATCGTTTTATGAAGGGCTGCTAGGGTATATGAAAATGTGGGTTGTAAGAGAAGTTGGTATTGGAGAGCTTTATCTAATGGAATTAAGGGTGAGGATTGGTTAGCGAGAAGATATGATTAGAACATACAGAACCATCTGCTCTTTGTAGGCTCTTTGCCTTCGAGACTTATAGCCGGTGGCTCAAACTTATCCCTCTGCCTCCTCATGTTCGTTAGTTTCTCGTTCAAAGTGTCGATCTCTTCGTCTTTCGAGTCGAGTAATTCTCTGCATGCGATCACTTCGTCTTTAAGATCTTTTTCAATTTTCTGGTACTTCCGGGTTTCTTCTCTCAAAAAGTGGATTTCACTTTCGAGTTTCTCGAGTTCTCTTGGGTCAGTTTGCTTGACTTCCATCATGGTTTTGTATTTGTCAATTTCAACTTCCATCTGTTTCTCTTTGAGGCCACTCTTCATGGTGACTTTCCTTTCCATCTTGGATCATCCATCTCTGATCTTGTCTTGGCTAAACTCTCACCAGATCTTGTATCATGACTGAGCCGAGAACTTCTCGAGGTTGCCACCTTGCAGCAAGAAGGCGTCCTGGAACTCACCCCAGGCTTTCATGTACTGGTCGATGGAAGTGAAGTCTTTGCCGAGGATTCGCTCTCTGTACATTGCATTGATGAGTTCAGTCAGCTTTTCTTCGTTTTCTTCGTTGTTGGCTATATTAGTGTGATTGACAAAGTGGTCTCAAACTCATACCTTTTCTGTAAGCTTCGTAGATCTGCTCGATGTTTTCTTGCAGCGTGTCGTATGCTTCCTGCTTCTCTTGGTTATCGAAGTCCTTTGTGATTTCAAGGAATATCTCGATGGCTGCCTGCATGATTCCTTTGTGAGCCTTCGACAACTCGTCTTCGTTACACGGAATGTATTCAGCTTCAAACTTCCTCATGTCTTCTTCATAAACTTTGAGGCCTTTAGAATATCCGTTTGACAATTGGTTTTCAACGACTGCAACCCAGGAGTCTTCAATTTTTGGGATGACTCCTGAGTTGATGGCTTCTACGTACTTCATTACCACGGACACGTAGTCAGTGCCAGTCAGCCCGATGTCTCCGATTGCTTTGACTTGGATTTGGTTCAGGATGAAGTTCCTGAGGTCGTTGATTTGGTCAACAAACTCTGGTTTTAACAAGTCAGGGTCGCTTCTCAAATTTTGGAGGTCTCTCTCGTCGTCGCTTGGCCTGATGAGAGTGGCGCAATATCTTTCAGGAAAGAACCTTTTGATGGTCCCTCTGACTTCGTTATGGCCTTCAGGCTCTCGATCTGTCTCTTCTAACACATACTCCAGGTACTGGTCTGGGGTGATTTCGTTTCCTTCGTCATCTCGGAGATCAAGCACAAAGTCTCTGAGCACCCACAAGAATGTAGGAAAGTGGTTGATCAGATGGACCACATCTTCTTCGTCTTCGAGGTTCTGGATCCGCTGAGCCAGAATAGTTACCAGACTCAGCGAGTTGAGCGCATTTTCATCAATGACTCCAGTCGAATTGTAAATGAAGAAGGAAGACAGAAGCATCGCCAGGGTGAAAGTTTGGACATCGTAGTTCTGGTCTTTGTCGACGCCTCCGAGTCCTTCAGAGTCCATGACATACACATCAATAATTTGGTCATCTTCCTTATTTAATTGTTATAGGTTCGCTGTATATCCAGATGCCTCTGGTGCAGGCTTTGACGCTTGCACTCACTTCAAAGTTATTCTCGGTGTTGCCGCTCAGCAGGTTCATCAGAAGCGATTTACCAGTCCGATACTTACCAGCAATGCCGACAATAGCGATTTTGTTTTCATTCTCTTCTAAATTGTCGCTATTCGGAAGCCCATTGTTCGAATGATTGAGACTAAGATTAGAACTACCACCGGTTAAGACCTGTATGGCTTCATCTTCGATTTGGAACTTTCCAGTATCTGGATCAACACTAATAAGTTGGATGGCTCTTCCTGACTCCATAAAGTTTTAAATATTTATTTAGATTCAAAAATTCTTTACAATTGTGGGGTTTTGGGGTTTTGGGGTTTTGGGGTTTTGGGGTTTTGGGG